TTCATACCATGAGTCATAACCACTTTGTAATTTATAAGATCAACAAGAGATTTTTAATGAGGAAAATAGAATAAATAGTTTAGATTACTATCTTTTTTAGTTCTGTGTGTATGTGTTTCTATATTTGTGTATTATATAGTAATATAAGATATATTTCTTAGTGTGGGTCATAGTAAAAAATATTAAAAAAACTTTAGGTGATACCAAAAAGTAATTTAGAGTAGATAAGAAATGTCACATAGAAAGAATTAACACAATACAAAATAATAATTATTGGAAGATAATAAGTTTCAGATAAAGGAAAGAGACTGCCATAGCTGCATCTCCTACACATTTCCAGAGGAAATTTTTAAAAAAGACTTCACAAAGGATAAAGATTTAAACCAATTTGAGGATAAGCTTAGAGAAAGAGGGAATGCGTTCCTGAAAGAAAAAATGGTACAGGGAAAGGTACTGCTCTCAGAGAGTAATGAAATGAAGAGGTCAGCTTTGAGATAGGTTGAGACTAAGTTAAAAAGAACCTTGACCACAAGCCTAGGGATGTTAGCCAGTATATAATATAGCATGGTCACTAAATATCTTGGAGTAAAAGAGAGACTATTTGAAAAGAATGTGTAATAAAAATTCATGTGGCAGTGGCCTATAAGAAAATATTACAAAGGGGAGGACACAAAGACAAAGAAATCAATTAAGTGACTAGCTACTCATATTGGTGTTAAAAAGCAAACGTGGTGTGTGAATGTGGAAACAGAGAAAAAGTGTAGAATGCGGGCACCTTACTAAGAAGAAATTAGCAGTACTGAGCCTGATCACCTACATACTCCGGATCTTGCTGTCTCTGCTGTCTCCACTTCTAGAAAGCCTGTGTTTCACCAGACCTAATCTTTCTTCATTTCACAAACAGCAAAGAAAATGCTAGAATTTCTGATTTTTAATATTTTTCTCTCTCTCTGACCACTTTTTTTAACTTCTGTCCTTGGACTAATATTTGCTGTGTTTCTTTTTTGTTGTTGTTGTGGTTGTTTGTTTTTATTTTACTTTGCTCTCACTTGAGAGCAAAGATTTAATTGTAGTTAAAATTTACCCTAGCAATATTTGTTCTTAACTCTTGGGATATTTTCTTAAGTCAGTGATTTCAGTTATTATTATTATTTTCTTTTAGCAAAACCTCATTCCAAATGAATCCTTATGTAGACAACCAAGCCATGAATGTGCCAGCACTGGAGCTGTTGCAGTTGAGAATTGTGGGGGGCATCCCGTTTGCTCCCAGAATTGACCCCGAGCACCTCCAGGTGTTCTCTATGGCCATACAGAGCCAATTTTGAAAAGCATGCTCTTAGGGTAGCCCACAAGCTGTTATTTCAACATGAAATAGTTGTGATGCTTCATCAGTTAAAATTGGACTCCAAGGCTGGCAGAGAAAGGAGAGAATGGGGAAGTATTTGTCCTTAACTAAAGATTTGGAAGCTGTTCTAAATTTCAGTGATATTAATTGCAGATGATTTCATATTCTATATTTTATTACCTCATTATAGCACACAATTACTGCATTATGCCACACACTTCTAAACTTCCCATTTCTCCTCTTCTTTAACAATACTTTGCTTTATTTTTCCACATTTATGGTCAGAGAGACTCTAGAGGCTTTTCTGAACTGAGGCAGGCAATAAAGATTCATTTTTCTGCCAGAAAACATAATCAGATCAAAATCATGCTAAAATGAGGATTTATTTTAATTATGAAGTTTTAAATGAAAGTGTGACTCATTGAAGTTACCCTATTTTCAATATAAGCATAGCATGTCTGTTTTGTATGGAATATTTTTAAAAGTAATTTTCTTTATGCATTTTTCCCTTTGAAATATAGATCACTTCCTTTTTATTATTTGATAAACAAAAATAACATAAAACAGCATTAAGGTTTATTCTAAATGATGCCACAAGAATCTTTCAATTTTGAAAAAGAAAAAATATTTAACTCAATTATTTTGATTATACAGGCTTCTCAAATATTTATTTGAATTACAAGTCTTTTACTATTCAGTCACAATTGTGCAATAGCCAATAAGCATCTAAGAAACAATGTTTCTTTCTTTTTCAGCTTCTAAAATTAAAAAAAACAAAACAGATTTATTTCCCTAATCTCTCACTTTATTAGAAAAGCATGCACAGAAAAAGAAGCTACAGGTTTAACATCAGATAATGTAATATAGGAAGATGTAAAATCTGTGCATTCTTAAATATTCTTACGTTTTAGTACTGAGAGCTTTATCTTTAAGTAACCATTCCACCTGCAGCTAATTATTTGGCAAAATGCAAATGACAATTTATGATAAATTTACCAATTAGTTTTCAAAATTCTGGTTAATTGTAATCATGAACGTTAACAACATTTACTATTTTCCTAAGAGAACAAATTTAATTTAAAAATGTAACTACCATTCACTGTATGATTTTCCTTCTTAATAAATTTTAGACAGGCCAGACCTTTTCACTGTGGAAAGAATGAACAGCATGTTTATGGGAATTAAAATGTGCCTGGGAGCTCCCAATTAAATTAGACATTAATTGGTCTGTTCCATTTCAAATAAAATGAAAATGATGCTTCTCATGAGAATTTTAAAAAACATTGGCAAAATATTGAATGACAATGTATAACGTATTTTTTTAATAATGGAATATTTTTCTGTACCCTAAAGCTTCAAATCAACTATGATCTTGGAAATCTTATAATACATATTCTCCAAGCAAGAAACCTTGTCCCTCGAGACAACAATGGTTATTCTGACCCTTTTGTTAAAGTGTATCTTCTTCCTGGGCGAGGGTAAGTAAAGAAACAATGTCTTCTAAGTATCCTATGGTTTAAAATGTAGTATAGTAGTAGAGCGTCTTCCAGCCTTTTCAAAGTCTCACCTTAATTGAGTTTATTATCTTTTCCTTAGTTTTCTCCACACGTCTTATTTATTTATTTCCAATTAGTAGATAAGGTGGAATTAAAAATTTGTAATTAAGCCTTAAAGGGTTCTAGAAGAGCAATGATAATAATAAAATTAGCCTCCAGGAGAGCACATCAGCAGCATTTCAATTCTGGAAACTGCTCCCATGAGGGATGACCAATCAGATTGACTGTGAAATCATTTAAGGACTTGTTTGTGGCAGATTTAAAGAATTAGCTTACCATTCCCAAATTTATTTGAGAAACCAATGTTCGAGAACTCATAAGTTACTGTTTATTTTTATAGGATGTGTGTGTTATCCATTATGTTAGATGTTTATTAAATGCCTTCCTGATATATCCTTATTTATATGAATATTTCCAAATCAATGTT